CACCCACATAGAATGAGGATGGAGTGGAACACCCACGACTTGGTGATATGTGAATCAAGAGGCTAGACCAGTTGTCGGGGTTCCCCTCAGTCACCTATTCTTACCCCTAAAGAGTTCACATATCCTCAAGTCACTGGCTGCTACCACTCCACCCCCACAACATGAAGTGAAAATCTGAAGCTAGTAAGGTTGGGAAAGATTAATGAAAGCATACCTTGATGGATGCACTTGACGGATGGGATGTTTGAAACTTGTTGCTTCAATGAGTCTCCTCCACTTTTGACTCTGAAATTATAGGAAACTAATCCAGGGCCAGCTTGTGGTTTGCAGATTGTATAACATGTATTTGACTACAAGCAAGGATGGCCAGATGGTGGTTTGAGTAAGTCATGTGACATGTTGTGGACACAGCATTGCGCACTTGCTCCTGGTGGGTATGAAGCCAAGCAGTAGCCAATAGTTGTGTTGGCAGGCCAACAGTGTATCAATCACCCATAAAGGATAACCAAATTTAATTACACAAATACATACAAAGGGCAAAAAACATTATGAGTCCAATGTCATAATGTGTTTGAAGAATATGAATGGTAAATGTCAAGGGGACCTTCGCAAAGAAGAAAATTAAACAGATTTACGCGCTTTGAAATTTTCTAATGGATAAATTAAAAAAAAGGTCCTGAATTCAAATCTGCAGTCAATTGACCGGAGAAATCTTAAGCGCCTGCCCTGACCACTCCCAGATTATGGTCAAACTTTAATAGAGGGACCACCTAGCCTCAGGTGGTACATCTCTCCAGTCAACTGACTGGAGAAATCTATAGCTCCTACCCTGGCCACTGCAAGCTTATGGTCAAACTTTGATAGAGAGACCACCTAGCCTTAGGTGGTCCATCTCTCCAGTCAATTTTCTGGACCCACAGACTGCTTCAGCAGATTGGCTGGAGCTCTCGATGTCCCCATTTGATTGGCTGGAGCCACGGACTGCTCCAGTCAATCGACTGGAGCTCCTGATGGCCCCAGTCAATTGGCTGGAGCCACAGACTGCTCCAGTCGATCGACTGGAGCTCCCGATGGCCCCAGTTGATTGGCTGGAGCCACAAACTGCTCCAGTCAATCGACTGGAGCTCCCAATGGCCCCAGCCAATCAATTGGGGCCACAGACTGCCTCAGTCGATCGACTGGAGCTCCTGATGGCCCCAGTTGATTGGCTGGGGCCACAGACTGCTCCAGTCGATCGACTGGAGCTCCTGATGGCCCCAATTGATTGGCTGGAGCCACAGACTGCTCCAGTCGATCGACTGGAGCTCCCAATGGCCCCAGTTGATTGGCTGGGGCCACAAACTGCTCCAGTCGATCGACTGGAGCTCCCAATGGCCCCAGTTGATTGGCTGGAGCCACAAACTGCTCCAGTCGATCGACTGGAGCTCCAGGTGAGGCCATTTGATTGGCTGGGGCAATCTGTGGCTCCAGTCGATCGACTGGAGCTCCAGGTGAGGCCAGTTGATTGGCTGGGGCAATCTGTGGCTCCAGGTGAGGCCAGTTGATTGGCTGGGGCAATCTGTGGCTCCAGTCGATCGACTGGCAAGGCTGACCACCTAAGGCTAGGTGGTCTGTCTATTAAAGTTTGACCATAAGCTGGCGGTGGCCAGATCTAAAGCTGAAGATTTCTTCACTTGATCGACTGGAAAGATAGACCACCTAAGGCTAGGTGGTCTCTCTATTAAAGTTTGACCATAAGCAGGCAGTGGCCAGGGCGGGAGCTACAGATTCTTTCAGTCGATCGACTGGAGAGATGGACCACCCAAGGCTAGGTAGTCTACCTTTTAAAGTTTGACCATAAGCGTGCGGTGGCCAGGGCCTGTGACCACCCACTCCGCCAGTCTGCAGCTGCAGTCAATCAACTGACGTAATACATCACCCAGCAGGCTAGTGGGTCCATTCCATGATAATATGCTATCAGTAAACTTGGTCTTGTGTGGATCTGCCTTGCCGTCTTTAAACACTCTGGTCGCGCATTCGCCCCTTTTTTTTTTTTTTTTTTTTTTCTTG